CCCAAACATCTGAATGGACTAAAGTGAAAAGTGACTCTGCTCGATTATCAAGACGCCGAGGGAAACGGGAGCGGGTATGCTTATCGAGCTGACATGACTCACACTCTAGAGTGGACAAGTGAGATAAACTAGGTACCATTTTCTGAAGTTTTGACAAACTGGGGTGTCCCAACCGTTTATGTAATAAATATGGTGAATCGGTAACAAGACAAGTTATTGAAGGGAGACAAGATGTGAGTTCATGTGATTTTGCAAGGATAAGGTAATAAAGTCCATCTGATTCACGCCCGATACCAATGATACGCCCCGTATTGCGTTCCTGCATAAAAATAAGGTCATCAAGAAATAAAACAGCGCATTTAAGTGATTTGGCTAAGCTACTAACGGTTATGAGATTAAAAGGACTATTGGGAACATAAGAATTGAATCTAAAGGTAAGGAAGGAAGTGTGCTTACTTGACCTATTGCAGTTGCCATGGTTTGAGTCCCATTAGCCATTGTGACTGTTGGAAGATATTGAGAATGCGAAATAGTAGTGAAAAGAGATTTGTTACCAGAAATATGATCCGATGCGCCTGAATCAATGACCCAAGACTCGGAGGATGAAGATTGGGAGACACAAGTCATGCTATTAACCGTTTGAACAACAGAAGCTATCTCAGAAGATGCCTGCTTACATGCTTTGTACTGAAGGAACTCAATATAATCCGCTAAAGAAACCATCCAACCATTCAACGTATCGGTTCCCATTTTGTTACGACCAAAATCCTAACAACCTCCGTGAGGCCTAGCTAACTCCCAAGGTGTAAGAGAAACTATTGTTCACTTTCACTGTTTCACTGTTATTGTTCACCGGAAAACACTGTAGCTCGCCGGAAAAATTTCAAGTTGTCGGAATCTGGCAAAAACTGTACTGGTGGACTTGGAATTGCTGTGCTAACAGGCTTTCCTGAAGAAGCTCAGCCAAAAAATGGCCGGAAGATGCCTCACATGCCGGCGCCCTCACGCGCCTGGGTGGAGGTCTGTCGAGAAATTTTTACGGGTTGGTCAGGGGAAGCTGATCTACCTCGTGGTGGTGTTGGTTTTTGCACAATACCGACGGATATGGACTTTTTCCTACGGACAGTGCTGTTTTGCCGGAAAAAAGGCTATTTTTTTTTCCGGAGTCGCTGGAATTTATGCACAACGATAAATATCTCACGATTGCTCTGATACTATGTGAGAAAGCACGGGAGAAAAATATTATTACTTAATTAAAGTGTTGTACAACCCTATTAATATAAAGTGATTACATAATAATAGGTATCTACTTCCCGATGTGAGACACTATACATGACTAACTACTTTACAAAGTGAATCTAGTTCAGAAGGCAAATGCATGTGTTATAGTAGGTCATGCAAGCTGCATTTAAAGCAAAAGCTGCTGACATCTATGTCTACTGCTTATTATTAAGTTCAACCAGCTAATATTAACAATTCAATCAAATTAATTACTTGGAAATCCTGTTCTTCATCATAAATGATAATTGTGTTTCTCAGTTAGTTTATTGCTGTTAATAAACTTACATGATATTATGTTGTCCAGTTTGTCACACTGCTATTGAGTAAAACTTACTTATGAGGTTTCTTTACTATCAAATCCATGATTAGAATTAGGACGAAGATGTAAAAGATAAGAAAAAGAGCAGCTGAAGTGGAAATCATTGTTTAGCCAAAGTGATTTTCCCCCTTTGATCTTCAGGGTTATTACGTCAACCTAAATGGGGTCATTTGAAAGATCTGCATAGAGCGATAAAGCTTTGTGAGCCAGCTTTAGTATCTGCTGATCCAACTGTGACACCCTTAGGGAACTATCAAGAGGTGACATTCATTTAAATTCTTCTTAAACCAGTCAGCATTGCCAAATTTGAAGTGAAATCAAACTTTTTGTTTTTCTCTTACAGGCCCGTGTTTTTAAGTCGGAGTCTGGGGCCTGTGCTGCCTTCCTTGCTAATTACAACCAGCACTCTTTTGCTACAGTGGCATTTGGGAACATGCATTATAACTTGCCGCCCTGGTCTATCAGCATTCTTCCCGACTGCAAGAACACTGTATATAATACTGCGAGGGTGAGAAAAAGGCACTTCTCCTGAATTACTTATGCTATTAGTGCATAACAATGAAATTGTCTCATACTCTTAATTTAATGTGAAGGTTGGTGCTCAAAGTGCACAGATGAAGATGAGTCCAGTCATTAGAGGATTCTCTTGGCAGTCATATAATGAAGACGCAGCATTTCATGAAGACAATACTTACACAGTTGTTGGGTTATTGGAGCAGATAAATACCACAAGAGATGTATCTGATTATTTGTGGTACATGACTGAGTAAGTGCTCTTTTTCTGGTATTGCTTCACAAACAAACGAAGGAAGTTAATTACACTCGAACTACTTTAGATTGCTCACATGTTTATGATTGATTATGTTTACCCGCAGCGTCGAGATTGATCCAACAGAAGGATTTTTGAATAGCGGCAATTGGCCTTGGCTTACAGTCTTCTCTGCTGGCCATGCATTGCATGTGTTTGTGAATGGTCAATTAGCAGGTCCGTGATGTTTTTTGTTACGTACAATTGCGAGTTGAGGGTTTTTTTAATCAGAGATTTCAGGCTTTTTTTTTTGTATGCAATTTACGACCCAATCGAGGAAACAATTTGGTTTAATAAGAAAAACTGATGTCCAGGTCAATTGCACATTGTTATTTATCATTTCTGTACATCCATACGTTTTGCAGGAACTGTGTACGGAAGCTTAGAAAACCCAAAACTAACTTTCAGCAATGGTATTAATCTGAGAGCTGGTGTAAACAAGATTTCTCTGCTAAGCATTGCTGTTGGTCTTCCGGTTTGTCCCTCTCTCCCCACCCTCTTCTTCTCTATTCCACGTGCATATATCATACATATGCCTGTTCATCTCCCCATGGAAGCTGCATGGCTCTGTGTGCTGCATTCGAGTAAAACTGATTTTGAGAGTTATACTTCAGTAATTCCAAAATATGCTCATCTTCTGGCTTGCTTCTACATGTGCTTGAATGTAGAATGTTGGCCCTCATTTTGAGACATGGAATGCTGGTGTTCTTGGACCGGTTTCACTTAGTGGTCTTAACGAGGGGACAAGAGATTTAACATGGCAGAAATGGTTCTACAAGGTTTGTCTTTTTAGATTTTTGAAAAAAAGAATTGTTTGCTTAAATGTCCGTCTATCTGACTGTTCATTTCTTTGACCAGGTTGGTCTAAAAGGAGAAGCCCTGAGTCTTCATTCGCTCAGCGGTAGCCCATCTGTTGAGTGGGTTGAGGGCTCTTTAGTGGCTCAGAAACAGCCACTCTCTTGGTATAAGGTGCATAACTCATTATCTTTTCTATCATGGTTAGTTACATAAGTAAAGTTGTCCTGCTATAAGTCAGGAATATTAGGTTCTTCTAAAGCTCAGTATATTAACATAGATCACGGGCATCACCAAAAGGAGTTAGCTTTATGGTGCAGTGCTTACATTTACCGTGGTTCATATCAAGAATTCAAATTTCTTTGCCTTCAAAAGACCTGAGTAAAAGCCACTAAATCCCTTTGCTGTGTTTGCAGACTACATTCAATGCTCCAGCTGGAAATGAACCTTTGGCTTTAGATATGAACACCATGGGAAAAGGTCAAGTATGGATAAATGGTCAGAGCCTCGGACGCCATTGGCCTGGATATAAATCATCTGGTAATTGTAGCGCCTGTAACTATACAGGCTGGTTTGACGAGAAAAAGTGCCTAAGTAACTGCGGAGAGGGCTCACAAAGATGGTAAGTCATGACAAACTGTGGTGGATTTTCCTCTTATGTAGCATGAAGCTCCAATTAGTTAACTGAGAAGCATAAATTCAGGTACCATGTTCCCCGGTCGTGGCTACATCCTACTGGAAATTTGTTAGTTGTATTTGAGGAATGGGGAGGAGATCCTTATGGAATCACTTTAGTCAAAAGAGAAATAGCAAGTGTTTGTGCTGATATATATGAGTGGCAACCACAGTTGTTGAATTGGCAGAGGCTAGCATCTGGTAAATTTGACAGACCTCTCCGACCTAAAGCCCATCTTCGGTGTGCACCTGGTCAGAAGATTTCTTCAATCAAATTTGCAAGCTTTGGAACACCAGAGGGAGTTTGTGGAAGCTTCCAGCAGGGAAGTTGCCATGCCCGGCGCTCATATGACGCTTTTGAAAAGGTATTTAAGAATCATAGTTTGATGAGTTTTGACCTTCATGATTGGAATCAAAATTGAGTTTCTTATTTTGTATAAACATGAGAGACCTACTTGCATCTTTAATTATTCTTATTATCATTTTGCAGAATTGTGTTGGGCAAGAGTCTTGCTCAGTGAGTGTGACACCAGAGAATTTCGGAGGTGATCCATGTCGAAATGTATTGAAGAAACTCTCAGTGGAAGCCATTTGCAGTTGACCACCATGATGGTATTAGTGGTTTTCAGTGATTTTTCTTAAACACCACGATAGAAATAGTTTGAACACTCTCAACATTTCTCGAAGAAGCTACTACACTACACATCCAAAGATCGGCACCTACTAATTTTTGGCTTTGCTGGTGGTGAAGTTGTACAGTTAAGCAACACACCTCTTTGATCAAAGCTCACCTGATTCTGTACATGTTAGTTACTGAGATTGGTGTTGGCCTGCTACTGTAAAACAAGAATTTGATGTTTGGTCCAAGTGCACATAGGGATGATTTGTAATGAGTCCATGTGCAAATTTTGTTTGCGCTACACTTGGTAAGCATTTCGCTTCCATTAACTTCCATCGTATAATCTATGTAAGAAAAGCAATTATTCATTGCTTTGCACATTAAGGGGTCGTTTGGTAAGGGTGCATAAGAATAATGCTGAATAGAGTGTATTAGTAATGCTTAGTTATGCTTGCATTAGTTATGCTGACATATTTCTTATCCATTTTTTGGTTTGATGTATTAAAGCATTGCACAATTTCTAAAAGAATTATTTGTTTACAAAAATGCCCTCAAAACTAGTCCATCACTCTATCTTTTTAAAAGAAACATATGTTGGGGAATATTTTTATATGAAAAAGTTCTAAAAAATTATTTGATTTGTCTAACTATATTGTAGTGTGGAATTAAATTTTTATTTATAAAAAATAAAATATTGCTATGTATTTATTTGTTTACTAGAGACATAATTTTGTTCTCACTATTTGGATTATTTTAAACTTGCATTAATATAATAGCATAATTTAATCAAGCATAAATTTTGAAGGACAATTCTGTCGTTAACTAAGCTGATGCATGCATTAAAACCCATTTGCATTCCTAATACCATGGTTTTCTATGCATTAGGTATGCATAGGATAATACCAAATATGGTGCATAATTAATGCTTGCATAAATAATGCATAGGTTCAAAAAGTGTACCAAACAAGGTATTATTAATATACAAAGCTAATGCATACATTATTTTATCTAATGCATCCTACCAAACGACCCCTAACAGTTTAACAATGTTGCAGTAACAGCAACCTCCTTTTTTTCATTCTTATTCATCTGCATGTGTTGTCTGTCAAGATACCGAGGGTTGCATTCTGTGCTTGCCTTGTTTAGCACTTGTTGGTGTTGTTTCTTGACAATTATGTAAAATGCGATCTTAATCACATGCAGAAGTATAGCATAAATGTTTCCCATGGTTTTCAATTTGCTAATTGAAAGGACAAGCTTGCATACATTTGTAGATGCATCATCATAAGTTTTCAAGACACAACAAAATTTCTGTTTTCTACCATATGTATTGTTAAAATAAAAAAGGTACAATTAATGTTGCAATAATGTAACCAACAAAAGAAAATGAAATAAACTTAAATGACAAGAAGCAAGTCAAGCCACAAAAGAGTCGTCGGCAGGCAGACTTCAGCCTTAGTCCTATGCAGCACAAAACCAGCTACTTTCTTTCTATATATCAAAATCATCAGAATTCAGACCTCTATACAGGTATGGACTTATGGGCTATCTCTTGGTCAGTCAGTCTTCAATGAGGAATATATTTTCTGAACAAAGCAAAACCAAGCATAGAAGCCAATTGTTCCTGTTTGCGCAAACAAGGCATATGATGCAAACCACATGACCTTTCTTCCTAAATCTCAAAATCATCAGTTCAGAACCCAAACCATTTTCGCTATACTTGTAACAACTTATGAGCTATCCTCTTCATCAGTCAATCTTCACTGAGGAGTAGATTTTCCGGACAAACCAGAAGCAAGCATAGAAACCAATTGTTCCCGTTAACACAAAGAAGGCATACGATGCAATCAACATGTAACCGAAATACAAGATGCCTGAAACCAGCTTTGTGATTTCCAACTTGGTGAAGAAATAGAATACAGAGTAGAGAAAGAAGTACAAAGCCGAGGATCCAGCAGTCAGATAAGCTCTCCACCACCAATAATAGTCTTCACTGCACAACTGGAAGTAGCAGAGGACGATAGTTATCTCCGCACATGTGATTATCAAGATCAGAAAAACTATAAACAGGAAGCCAAAGATGTAGTAGAACTGGTTCAGCCATATGGAAGTCAAAATGAAGAACAGCTCAATGAAAACAGCCCCAAATGGAAGAATACCACCGATTAGAATTGAAAAGGCTGGTTTCATGTACCATGCCTGCTCCGGTATTTGTCTAGGTATTTTGTTTGTCTTAACTGGCTCTTCACGGGCCGCTTTCTTATTGCCGAGGTAACTGCCAACAAACACTAAAGGTACTGAGATTCCAAACCATAAGCACACAAGAGCAAACATAGTCCCAAAAGGCACTGCCCCGGAAGATTTCTCTCCCCAGATGAGAGCGTTCAGCACAAAGAAGACAGCAAAAAGTATACCGGGGAACATAAAAGCAGTTCTCAAGGTAATCCTCTTCCACTCTGTTCCCCTGAATGTTTTGTAAAGACGTGCAGAAGAATAGCCAGCAAACAAACCCATGAAGACCCAGAGCAGAACCATGGCAGTCATAAGTCCACCACGGTTAGAAGGTGACAAGAAACCCAACAGAGCAAAGATCATTGTTACTAGTGTCATTGCAAATATCTGGACACCAGTCCCAACATAAACACATAGTAATCCAGAATTAATAGGTGGGCGGAAAATATCTCCATGAACAAGTTTCCATCCTGTTTCTTCCTGAGCTTCATCTTGTGTTTCCAGTTGGTTATAGTTAGCAATATCTCTGTACAAAGTTCTCATCATGATCATCGCAACCATACCAGAAAGGAAGAGGACAATCATAAGGGAGTTTATGATGGAAAACCAGTGAATCTGATCATCATTCATGAGAAGGTATGTATCCCAACGAGAAGCCCACCTTATATTACTCTCCTGCAGAACAGATAGCAGCAGATAAGAAGTCAACAAACAATAAAATACTGCATCACACCTGAAGTAGGACAGATAACGGTTCAGTAAGAGAATACCTTGAAGGAAACATCATAGGTGAATACAACCTCCTTATTTGTATCTACTTCTTGGGGCACAACACCACCTAGAATTAAATTTTTTGTATTCTGGTTACACGTCACTTGAGGATTCTTCTCATTCCAATCCTTGTACTCATGATTAATGCTGTCAAGAAAAATCAAGTGAGAAAAGAACAGCTAGGGATAATTATACCTTCCTCCCCCCAATAATAAAGAATATGAAACAATAGCAAGGAAGAGTTAGCATTAAAACCTATTTGGAGTGACTTCAAACCCAACAATACGAGCAGTATCAGTTTCAGGGTCCTTGTGGTACATGACTCGAAAGCTTAAATGGTTGTTGATAAAATACTTCTCCTCTTTACTCTGGCAGAAGAAAGTAAATTCATTAAGGGTTAGATTACTTAGCGAGGATTAAGTCATCATTCTATAGCAATTCAGTGACTGCACTAACCCCAGCATAATTTCCCTTGAACCCAACACGGAAACCATGCTCATAAGTAGTTGACTGACTTCCATCTCGCCTTTGTCTAAGAACAGCAACAGGAAGGTTGTCCAAAATCCTGCATAATTATTTGAATAATCCATGTTTAATTTTTGTGGCGGTGCAAAAAGATGAGCAAAGATATCATGCTGTGGTGGGACTGAACTGGAACAAAACTACACTAGATTAATCTTACATATTGATTCTGTATTCATCATCAATCTTTTCCTTGAAGTTCTTTGCAGATTCAGCATCAAGTTTTCGTCGACAAACCACTTGGCATGGCTGTTCTTGTCTCATTTGGAACTGTGTATTAATTCACAAGATATAACCCATTCAGCTTGTTCACTCGTAAGTACGTGAACAAACGTTTTTTAATGCCAATTTCAAGCTAGAAGGAAAAAGCATATATCCTTACAGTATAAACTGAATTCTCTATGCGGTCCCCTCGAAGAACCTCCCCCAAATTCTCCGCACTATTCAAAATTTCAGTAGGTTTGCAATACTTCAAGTAGTAATAGTCATATGGTAGTTGTGTCTTTGTAGATGACAGCTTGTTTACTTTGACATTAAGTGGATCACCCTGTAATATATAAGAACAGTCTTGTTATAGACAATTATACATAACATAGAGTTGCCACTTTCCCGGGCAGTTTGTTCTTTTTCGCTAGAAGGGGAAGAATAAAAAAGTAACCAGCAACACATATGACAGATAGCAACAATCAAACCAAAGCAAAAATGGTATCTTTCTATTGATCTTCTTTCTGATGTTTCTACCTGAGCAACTAGTACAAATGTTCAACTCTTTATGAAATACCAAGTTTCAAAATGACCAGATGAAACCGGGAAAATAAAATGACTGCAATGCCCAATATTTCTTGCACAGGATATTCAAGACATAACCAATATAAAGACTTCAAGACAAGCAGCTTCGATTAAAATAAACATCAAGAAGGCCTCCTCTTTAGACAGGAGATCTCAGAGCTTCAGAATATATAACATTTCTACATTGAGTTCACACAGAATTAGTCACTGTTTTTATTAAATCTTATCACACACATTTACTATGAATTAAATGAATTCTGCCAAAGGCATTCATTCAAGCAGACAAACGCAAATACATCCTAAAGAGGCAGAGGACGATCCAGCAATCAACATTAGGTAGTAGGTGCACATGCATTCACTGTCTCAAACTCGGTCTACATATACGTATTGAAAAGAGAAAATTCTAATATATATATATATATATCCACTGCCCCTAAATGCTGGAACTGCCTTTGTGTAACAAAGAGTCGTAATAAGACGCTAAACATGCCTATCAAGCAGATAATCCAAAGGAACTTGAGCTCAACTTCAGCAGAATTAAATAATAAATATGTAACTTATTTTCCTGGGATTTAGTCTATCAACAGAGGAGATATTTTATCACGTCCATTTTATAAATCAACCAACCAATCAACTACGCATCCATATGAATTCATTCCACTCTATACAGGCCATTTCATTAGTCATTACATTCAGAATCATTTCACAAGCCAAACATTTTCGCTTACTAAAAACCCCTATAGAAAAACACGGCAATATAAGAGCTTTAGCAGTAGGTGAAAATCAGTACATCCAAACCAGTATAATTCACAGGAAAACAATAAAGTTTAAAACTTTTGAAGTTTATAGACTCCCAAATTGAAAAAAATATCTAAATTATTCATGAAATGAATATGGGCAGAAATTACTGGACACCCGAAACTAAAAAATGTCTAAATTATTCAAGAAATAAACATGGGTAGAAATTACTGGACACCCAAAATAGAAAAATGCCTGAATTATTCAAGAAATGATAATGGATAAAAATTACTAGCCAACCAAAACTGAAAAATATCTAAATTATTGAAGAAATGATTATGGGTAGATAACTAGATATTAGTGGACACACAAAATTGAAAGATGTCAAATTTATTGAAGAAATGATTATGTGCATTATTATCTGATCCCAATGCTATTCTTTTTACATGCATACAACATAAATAGAAAAAAGAAAAATGGTTACCGTTTGAAAATCGCGAGGAGCAACACCAGGAAGATAGAACGAATGCGTAGACGATATAAGGAAGAAGAAGAAGAAAAAGATGGCGAGCCGATATGATCTTCGTTGATCCATCTGAAATTCCATGCTTCAAATTTCAGTGTTGTCAGGGGGAAGCTTTTATACAAACTCCCAAGGTTGCACCTTTTTGATAACTACACTTCTTTAATTTCATTTTCCTTTATATTTTCGTCAATTGAACATTTTAGTTGACGAATGAATAATTAATGATAAAGTTAAAACAAGAAAAAAAATATTGTCTTTCTCTTGATTTAGTATAGTGGATAATTAAAAATAAAAATATATTTTTAATATAGTGAACAAGTAAAAATAAGAGAGTAAAAAATTTATAAAATAACTCTTTTGGCTTAAATTGCATTAACATCATTATTATTAGTAAAAATAGCACGGTCTAGCCAGTTTTCGGATTGGTCGTTCAAAAATAGCCAGCGTTTACCAAGTCAATGAAAAATAGCCACTATTTTGCTGCAACAGAGACCGGTCCAGCATAATATGCTGGAAGTTCATACACACAAAAAGTTCCAGCATAATATACTGGAGATTCGAGCACTTGTGTATGAACTTCCTGCATATTATACTGGACCGGTATACTTTGTTGGAACTCCAGTATATTATGCTGGAGTTCTAGTGTACTTATGCTGGAAATCCATCATATTATGCTGGAGTTCCAGCATACTTATCCTGGAACTCCAGTATAATATGCTGGAGTTCAAGTACACTTATGCTGGAACTCCAGCATAATATACTGGCGTATTTTTTGGGTTTTGAATAGTGTTTTCGCTCAGATTTATCTTTACATGAAAAGTGGCTAGATTTCGATTACTTTTAAAACTGGGTTATTTTTGAACGACCACTTGTAAATCTGGCTATTTTTGAATTTCACCCTTATTATTATAGCATCATTTAACCAGTGACGAATTTATGCATTGAGGTATAGGTGCTGAAGCACCCATTGACTTTGGCCAAATCCTGTTATGTATTCGTAGATACTCCATCCGGCCCAAAATAAGTAATTTTTGATTCTTTTTTTGTGGTCCAAAATAAGTGATTTTCGAGATTTCAAGAGTGAATTAATTATTTTTTTCTCTACATTGCCCTTGGAGTAAATAGTGTTGGAGTGTTTATATGAAGAGATAATAAATGGTAATATGGTCAATTTTATTGCTAATTAATGTTAAAAGGTGGATTACTTAATCTGTGTGAAAACATCCAAAAATCACTTATTCTGGACCAAAGGGAGTAATACTTACAATTTTAAATAATTGATTATGAGCACCCACTATGATCATGTTTGACCACTGTAAGTTTACACTAAAATCAGTGAAGCGCCCACGACCTATTCTGGATCCGCCATTGCACTTAACATTATGAAAATGTTTACTTATAGCCATTTGTTCAATGTTAAAGAAATACAATTCTAGTTCTCACCAATGGAAGGACATTTGTTTTCGGACTATTTTTTTTCGGGTTAGTAAATTTTTCCATTTTACAAACCAAAAACCATTACACCGCAGCTATTCTCTAGGAACTTGAACATCATGCCCCAAGTCCTAACTCAAAAAACTCTTCCTACTCTACCAGTGGGTTCTTGATGGAATACAAATTAGGATATCCTCAACCTCTAGGGTACCATTTCATATCTTGTAGTCTCCCAGCTAACTTGCTTTTCAGATTTCCACGACTATGGATGTCACGACCCGGATCTTCCACCCTCGAGAGTCGTGATGGCGCCTACTAATGTGAGCTAGGCAAGCCAATTTCTGAACAGATTACCTTTACCCATTTTTAAATTTGTTAACAGTTATAATCCAACAGTTAATAATCTACAAAAATTAACAAGCGGAAGACTTAAATTTCGAGTTTAATAATACTGTTAATACCATTCCATGACAAAACTACCCAAGATTGGTGTCACAACTTCATAGACTGTCTAAGATTACTACAAATAAAGGTCTGAAATAAATAATACAATACTGTCTCTGAAAATACAAGAAAGAAACAGGAATAATAGCTATAAGGAGACGCCAAGGCCTGCGGACGCCTGCAGGACTACCTCGGGTCGCCTGATGGACCGGAAGCAACAACTTCACTGCGGTCCGAAATCCACAACACTAGGATCTGCACAAAAGAGTGCAGAGTGTAGTATCAGCACAACCAACTCCATGTGCTGGTAAGTGCCTAGCCTAACCTCGGCGAAGTAGTGACGAGGCTAGGACCAGACTACCAAATAAACCTATGCAGTTATATAATATACATCGGAAAGTAAGGAAATAATAAACAAGTAAAGATGGGAGGGGGAAAGCATGCTTCGGGGAATAACAGGTAAAACAGAATATCAAGAGAATTATAAAGGGACCAAAATCCAACTACTAACAAGGATAAGGAAAACAAAGGCAGAATTCACTTTCGGTCCACATCTCGTTGCAGGCGTGCAACCCGATCCCATTTCTCATATCTTGTGGTAGGCGTACCACCCGATCCCATTTCATTATATCCCGTGGTAGGCGTACCACCCGATCCTATTTTATTATATCTCGTGGTAGGCGTACCACCCGATCCCATTTCATTATATCTTGTGGTAGGCGTACCACCCAATCCCATTTCATTATATCTCGTGGTAGGCGTACCACCCGATCCCATTTCATTATATCTCGTGGTAGGCGTACCATCCGCTCCCATTTCATTATATCTCGTGGTAGGCGTACCACCCGCTCTCATTTTATTATATCTTGTGGTAGGCGTACCATCCGCTCCCATTTCATTATATTTTGTGGTAGGTGTACCACCCGTTCCCATTTCATTATATCTTGTGGTAGGCGTACCACCCGCTCCCATCTACAAGCCAACACAAAGTCACAAGGAATCCCGGAAAGGGAACAAAAGCAACATAATACCTCCCCGATAAGGGAACAACAATATCAAGACAAACATCCCAACAAGGGAGAATAAGCTATAAGCAATCCTAACTCGACTCCTACTCAGCTATACCCAAATTTATTCCAACACCTAACTACCTCAACTATAACTAGACTTGTTACGACACCTAACTACCTCGGCTATACCCAAACTTGTTCCAACATCTAACTACCTCAGCTATAACCATAATCCTTACCTAACACAAAGAATCATCAACCTAAGTATCCGTAATATCAATTAAGAACACAATGCAAGGAAACCACAACTCAACAATAGCCCGGCAAGGGGGCAACATAATGATCTCTTCTCTTTCTCACTTTCTACTTAACAATTCACTTCACAACTCGAGCCACTGCTCTAGAGGTCCAATAATCACCTATACTCTCACAATTCGTTATACAAATGGAGCCAACGCTCCTCAAAGTTCATAGGTCACAATTCTTTTCACAACTTTACACAACAAATAGAAATTTTCACCAAGGTATGAAGAATACAACGAATTCAAGGAAATCACAATATAAGACTCACGGTCATGTTCGACTCCAACGTATAGATACTCGTCACCATGCCTATATGTCGTACTCAACAAGAAACAAATAGCAAATAGGACACAACTCCTAATCCCTCAAGCTAAGGTTAGACCAAACACTTTCCTCGAACTTCCACGGCCAACTCAAGCCTCAAATGCCGCCTTTCCTTTCGAATTCGGCTCCAAATCAATCGTATCTATACATAATCGACTTTATAACATCAACAAACGTTAAACAATTCAATTCCAATGCCTAATTATAGCTTTCTAATCATTCTTCCCAAAAATCCAAAAATTGACCCCGGGCCCGCTTGTTCAAAACACGAGGTTCGGAACCAAAATCAAATCACCCATTCACCCACGAGCCCAAATATATAATTATTTCCAGAATTCGACCCCAAAATGAGGTCTATCGGAAAGCTTTTATGTGAAAATATGAAAAAATGTAAATTTCTAGAGTTAAAACTTGGTTTTTAGTTGACTTTGGTCAATATTTTTGGTAAACGGACCCGGATCTGTGTTCCGACTATCGCGGGAGGTCTGCGGTAAAATATGGGGCTTGGGCGTATGCCCGGAATTTGAATTCTGAGGTCCCTAGCCTTAGAAAATATTTTTAAAGAAATTATTGTGCTGGTTTTTAAAGGAATAAGAAATGAATTAATGTTTGAACTCGTTGGTATCGGGCCCGTATTTTGGTTCCGGAGCCTGGTNTCGGTCCACATCTCGTTGCAGGCGTGCAACCCGATCCCATTTCTCATATCTTGTGGTAGGCGTACCACCCGATCCCATTTACAAGCCAATACAAAGTCACAAGGAATCCCGGCAAGGGAACAAAAGCAACATAATAACTCCCCGATAAGGGAACACCAATATCAAGACAAACATCCCGGCAAGGGAGAATCAGCTATAACCAATCCTAACTCGACTCCTACTCAGCTATACCCAAACTTGTTCCAACATCTAACTACCTCAGCTATAACTAGACTTGTTACAACACCTAACTACCTCGGCTATACCCAAACTTGTTCCAACATCTAACTACCTCAGCTATAACCATAATCCTTACCTAACACAAAGAATCATCAACCTAAGTATCCGTAATATCAATTAAGAACACAATGCAAGGAAACCACAACTCAACAATAGCCCGGCAAGGGGGCAACATAATGATCTCTTCTCTTTCTCACCTTCACAATTCACTTCACAACCCGAGCCACTGCTCTAGAGGTTCAATTATCACCTATACTTTCACAATTCGTTATACAAATGGAGCCAACGCTCCTCAATGTTCATAGGTCACAATTCTTTTCACAACTTTACACAACAAATAGAAATTTTCACCAAGGCATGAAGAATACAACGAATTCAAGGAAATCACAATATAAGACTCACGGTCATGTTCGACTCCAACGTATAGATACTCGTCACCATGCCTATATGTCGTACTCAACAAGAAACAAATAGCAAATAGGACACAACTCCTAATCCCTCAAGCTAAGGTTAGACCAAACACTTTCCTCGAACTTCCACGGCCAACTCAAGCCTCAAATGCCGCCTTTCCTTTCGAATTCGGCTCCAAATCAATCGTATCTATACATAATCGACTTTATAACATCAACAAACGTTAAACAATTCAATTCCAATGCCTAATTATAGCTTTCTAATCATTCTTCCCAA